GAATTTCCCATTGGCTGAGGTCACGTACTCCACGAGCTCTAACAGAGTCTGCCGTTTGATCTCTTTCTCCTTCACGTTCTTAGAGGGGTCGCTAAAATCGAATAAGACACAGCACATTTTCACTTTCTTCATAAAAAGCTGCTGCTTTTCGGAAGTGGGCACGTCTCTGAAGCTAGGCAAGGCCTCGTATGAAGGAGGGATCGGATTTCCATTAATTCTTGAATTATGGTCATGAAGATTAGATTTGTTCTCGGGGGCTTTGCCTATGTTTAGAACAGAGTATGGGGCTGATATAGACTCATCAACAATGTTGCTCGATTTTTTACTTCCTCCGACATTTTTCTTCGAACTAGTCGAAGAAGAGCTTGTGGAGGAACTCGGCTCTCCACTGGATTTCGAGTTCTTCCTGGGGATCTTACCGAGTATCTGTTTGATCATTTTTGGTTTAAGCTACCCAAAGAATCCCAAAACCCCTTCCCCACAAAAAAATCGGACAGTAACTGGTTGAAGCACCAAACTTTATATAAGAATCCTTCAAGAAGCCTATGTTACTTCCTGGGGGAATACATCGAAACCCTCAATAGCAATATAATTGCAAATTAACAAAATTGAAGCAAGCTGTGTCTTTAGTTTATAGTTAAGANTAACAGCAAACAATTCAGTGCAGCCAAGAATTTCAAAACTGTCCCGAACAAGCAAGATGAAAACCTACACTATAAGGTTCATATTTTTACTGAAACCCACCAATTTTTTCCAACAGCAGAGCAAAAAAGTTCAAGTCTTTCGACTTAAACTCACAAACCCATATGTGCAAAGCCACGTGAAACCCTTAAAACAGAAACAAGGCACAACTTCAATTATCACAATCAGAAATACATAAATCTCCCCACAAACCAACGAGCACAAACCATTCTTTTTCCATATAATCAGACAAAAACGAGGACGAGAAAAGGAAAGGGAGAAGGGGAAAAAATGGGCATTTTCAGTTAAGAGGCACAAAAGCTCGAGTGTACAGTAGTTCAGAAAATAAGGATGAGAAATTTACAGATGTGATGAAAGCAATTGGTGAAAAACCCAATCTTTTTTCCTCGTTCTTGAAATTTCTTTGACCAGTAGCGCCTTTCCTTTTTTTTTTTTTTCGNAAAGCAAATTTCTGGGATTCTCCGTGTTTTGAATTTTTGTTTTTGTTTTTCTTTTTTTCACTGGAATGGATTTTTCTAATCTTCCACAGTCTACAGTGCTCATCAAGCTGAGCTGGTTCATACACACACATTTAGGTCAAAGTCAAATGCAACACAGTGGCATTTGTGCTTGTTGGCTTTGGGTAAATTTTGTTGGCTTAATCTACTTTTATCTTTTCCATTATACATAATCACTATCGCTAATAAACCTACCCTTTGATGGATTTACTTATTTAATGATTTACTACTTTACTAGTATAATGTTCGTGTACTACACGGGTGTTCAGTTAAAAAATATACTATAAAAATTATTTTTAAATAAAATTTATTTAAAAATTTTGATGGATTAATTAATAAAAAAAATAATAGACAATGCATAAAGTGATTTGTAAATCGTAATTTATAATTAAACTATGAGAGAAATTATAAGTGATAAGATTGCTACTTGCCCAAATTAAGAAGGAAATTTATACTAAGAAAAAAGAATAACAAAATTAAATGTACACTTACCAAGTTTAAAAAAAATTATTTATGCCAAGTCTGATTCTAAAGCAAAAAATTAATATACAAACAATATTCCGAAACATAGATTTTTGTCACGTCAACATCCGAAGCATGTGAGCCTGCCACTTAGGCTCAACATGTTTTGAATTAATATATAGGGAGGGATATTACATATTTTTAAATTCAAATATTATACTTAAAAAATAATATTAATAAAAAGTAAGACATTTAATAACACAAGTATTCATTATATTGCGAAGGTATAAAATAATGGGTCAACTTGACTACTGGTTAACTCGACTCACTCAATAATTTATGTATATAAATAGTTATTAAAAGGATTCACAATATGCAAAGTCACAAATTCTTATGGACTAATTGTTAGGCAAGGTCAATTTGTCGTACCTTCTTAATAGAAATAAATACTTGTATTATGTAATGTGATACTTTTGTTTATATTATCTCTCTCATCTTAGTCCTCTCCCATTTAGAATGTTTTTTGTTTGCTTTTTAAAATTGTGACATTCGGGTATCAATTAAAAAAATATGACTGCTTAGCTATTACGTATGCCTAACAGTAGTCTTACTAATATAAAATTATCATAGTAATTCTCTATTAGACATATTTACATTTAATGATGTAAATATTCATTCTTATTTAAAAAAATATGGCGAGTTGACTCGTCAAACTATTAGGCTGAAACACACAAATAATTTGTGATAAGATTAAGGTCAAATAATTTATACCCTCACAACACTGAAACACACAAATAATTTGTGATAAGATTAAGGTCAAATAATTTATACCCTCACAACTCACAATAAATCCATAGATACTGAAAATCTAAATTTGTGGTTCAATGAAAGTGATGTATATTATGAAGACTAAATAAATATACATTAAAATTTCCAAAATATGATGAAATGGCTTATATTGGTTTTTCACGTACTTGAAGACAATAACGGTTTCACAAAATATTTATTCCCTGTTTTTTTGTTTCTCCCATTTTTGTGAAACAATGGATTTATAATTTCGGTTGTGTTTGGTAGGGGACCGATATGTAACACAAAATGACCTTTGTACAAACCTAAGTTGCTATCAAGCAATTAAAGCAAAACACTCATACAACACGACATTCATGAAAACAATTTCTAAACAAATAAATAAATAAAAGAGTGTGAAATGAAGTTATACATTGCCTTTCAACGAGGCCAACTATTCACATTTTTATTGCAACATTTTGTTGTATTAGACTATTAGTATGAGTTTGATTGAGTTCAAGTCAAGTTAAGTGTACTCAAACTCGAGTCGAAGTCAAGCTCGTATTTTATAAACTCGATTATTTGATCACTCGCTTAAGTATATGTGTAATTATAGAAATATAGTACTCATGTTAAATTCGGCCTAAAATCCAGCAAAACCCTTCTTAAATTCATATCAATATTGAGTTGGTGAAGCTCGAGCGAATCACGAACATTTGTATATATTCTTGTATTGAGTCGAGCATTAAGAAGTTTGGCTCGTCAAGCTTGAACCATGAAGGTATTGTTTGACTCAGGCTTGGGTTAACCTACTTTACTTGTTTCTTTTTTCACCATTAGGATTATTTCCCCATAGAAGAAGTTACATCATTAATCAACCAAATTACATACTGTTTCTCCAGTCTCCACATTATATCCATTTTCATAAAGTAGCCTAATCAGTTGAGGTAAAAGTAGACCTCTGCATCTTTCTGGTGGCCCAACAGTGGCCCATTTGTTGTCTGGACGGTGCACTGTATTTAATTGATGGATTATGCATTTCAACATCCCAACAGTTCAAGCCCAATTCCCACAATACATTCTCCCTTCAGAGTTCAAAATATCACTTTTAATGAAAAAATAAATAAATAATAAGAATTTGTTTTTGTAGAAGTTTTAGAATTGCATCAAATCTACGAGGCACATAAGATTAGCTACACACTCACATACATTTAAAATAAATGTGCGTTGATCCAACAATTAAAAAATTCAATGAAAAAATAACTTACAGTATATAGATTGCAACCAAATTGTTTGTAATAAGATTAAACTTTCATTATATCAATATTAGTTGTGTAGTAGAATTTATTATCTTATCATGTTTTATTATATATGTGTATACAACATTTTCAAAAATAAAATTTTACAAATACATTAAAATTATAAAAATTTAACAGCAAAGTTATTGCTAGACAAACTTAATTGGTTAGTAACCATATTTTTTCAACAGACATGCACATTTTTAAATATAAATATCATACTATAAAAAATTATATATAAAAAAAATCATGTATTTTATAATATAAGTATGCATTTTGATTATAAAAAGTACACTAAAGAATCAATATTTTTTATTTTTTTTTGTGAAAATTCAATACAAGGTGAAAAGTTTGTTAAGTCTAATTAATAAATTATGCTCCTATTTTCCCAACTAACCACCAATTTTATCTCACTTGTATTCCCATTTTATTTCTAAAATAATTATTTCCTATCTATTTTTCTTTAGAGTGACTTTTGATCAAGCATTTCTCACCTCTCAAATCCCGTGAAAGCCCCGAAAAACAAGAAGATTCCACAAAGTGGCGAAAGTTTTTTCGTTTTCGCGGTTTCCCACCAGAAAATACCGGGAATTGCATTTTTCTCCCTCCCCCACACGTGTTGTTTGACCACCACGCGCCTCCCCTCAAAATCTAACACACACCCTATTTCCCAACACGCCCCCATTTTCTCCCAATTTCCCCTTTCTCCACCTCGATCTGCAGAGATTTTTTTCTCTTGTTCGGGTCTCCGTTTAATCCATCGGATCTCCGATCGGGCGGGCGATTTCGATTCGCCGATCACGGGCTCAGTATCTCTCCAGCCGATAGAAATTAGGGTTTGGGTTTTTTAAGACGAGGTCAGGTTTCTATTTTCTTTGTTCGGTCTGTATTTTGTTTGTATCCAGTCGTTGGGTAGAGGGTTGGCTGTCGTGGCCTTGCTGTGTGCTTAACTTAACCGGCTAGGACGCGTTAGATTCACTGTTTCGAGCTCCGGGGTTAGATAATTTTGGCGTGTGTGTGTGTTGTGGTAATTCTTTGATTATTTTTGTGTATATATGTGTAGGAGTAGTTTTGTTTTCCACCATTTCTGATCGATCTGATGCTGTAGCTGAATATAGAGAAGATTAGCGATATTTTTTTGGGTTCTTTACAAGAAATACTCGGTGAAGTTTTTGGTGCTTTGTTTTAGTTTGTCATTGGAAATAGAGGGTTTTCTTGTCTGAATCGTCCTTAGGAGTTAGCATAATCCTATCAAAAAGAAAAAAAAAAAGAAAAATACGGAAAAAGTAGATAGAAAGAGAAAAACGAGAAAAAGGTTAAAAGTGGGAAAAAAAGAAAAAAAGCAAAACAAAAAAAGGTGATTAATCATTCCTACGAGGTAAGGTTGTTCTGGTTTTTTGCTGGGATATTGTTTTTTCCCGTTTCGGTTTAGTTTGGGACGATAGAAAACGGAGGAAAGGTAGGGATCTAGATTTGGCTGCAGAGATACTGAGATGGCCTTGAACTATCCGCATAGGCCTGTGTTTCCACCTCATATTTCTGAAGATAATTTGTGGTCTCCTATGAGGATTGTGAACGGGTGTCTTGCTGAGGGTGTTCATGATAGGAATGGGGATGGTTTTGGGAGGTCCTGGCATGTAAGTCGAGGAGAATTCGAAGAGTGGCAAATTAACGGTCGCAAGGACAGAGCTGACCGTTGTCGCTCACCGGAGTCTAATTGCAAGGACATTGTTGACCTTTTGCCCTCTGACCCGTTTGGGATGGATATAGAGACTACCTTCACGGCCATCACTGGATGGCTTGAGGACTTAGAGGTTGACTATGGTGGTTATTTGAGTAATAGCAATGGGAGGGGCGGTCAAGAAAACTACGGTTTATTTGCTGAGTGGAATGTAATTTGGAGCAATGCTTTGAAGTTCCAACCATTTTGCAGAAATCATCAGTACAATCAGATTGGACTTCAGTCCTTGAGCAATCCTCAAGTTGACGAGAAGTCTCGTGTGGATACACGTTCTTGCTCAAGCAGTAGTCAGCATGATGAGAAACTGAATATGACCAATAACACGAACCAACGTGGGGAGGAGAGAGATAGGGGGAGCGCGTTTGGCCCTTATGACTTTGGATTTCAAAAAGCCCGTGATGAAGGGGGAATAACGGGCTTTGGAAATGAGAGTACTTATTGCAGGCATGAGCTGCAATCTGGAAAAAAAATGGAGGATGATGATATAGAGGAGAGAACACTACATGAAGCTTGGAATTTTGCATTAAGCTATCTGGGAGTGAAGGACCTTTTTTCTATGGAGAGGGTCTGCAAGTCCTTACGGGCCTCAGTGCAAGAGGCTTACTGGCTGTGGATGAGCATCCACATCGATCAGCCTCTGAACGAGAAGATCACGGATGATGTTCTTCTGCAGTTGGCTAGCAGGGCAAACTGTAACCTGCAGTGCCTGAGTTTGGTGGAGTGCCCGAAAGTCACAGATGATGGCATACGGCGTGTGCTCGAAACTAATCCGCGGTTAACTAAGGTCAGTGGTTGAACTTTCTGTATTTTGTAAGTTTTTAGATGGGTGTTTCCCTTTTCGTCTCGCTATATGGTTCAGTGCCTATAGATGTAGAGATTGTGTAATGTGTGATTCCATTTGTACATCCATATTTGTATTTAATTGCATGAGCTATGTTTTGTTATCATGTTAAAATTCCGGGCTCATCATTTTGATTTTCAGGCGATGTTAACACTTATAAATCAGTTCTATGGGTATATAAATAATAAATACAAGTCCACCTTTGTAGTTCATTGAATTAAGATATAGGACACGTCTTTTCTTCTTTTGTTTTGCCTTAATGTTTGTGTCCACATTATTGAATCTGTTCCTCCCAATAATAATGCTGCCTTGTTAGTGATTTAGATTTTTAGATGACAATCTTTTATTTTGTCGCTTCATAGTGCTTCCTAATCTTCGGCCATGATTTTTTAATTTGGAAACTATGTTNTCTCATGTTGTGTTTTTGTTTTTTATCTTGTTTCCTTTTATAGAAATGTGAAATTTTCGTTACCAATGATTTTGGTAATAAAAACTAGTATTAGGTTGGATGTTGTTGCCAGTTAATAAGCTTGGATTGCCATATCAATATCCATTTTTTATATCTTTTTTCCATTTAGTGATCTGTGCTGATTGTTCATAGTTCTTGAACTACATTGACGGTTAAATAGTTACTCTTACCTTAATGCCTGTTACTTTGTTTTCATTATCATGTCCATTACTTATGCTTCACTCTATACGCTATTACTTGGTATAACTATCATATATCGCCTGTAATGCAGCTCTTTGTCCCTGGCTGCACGAGGCTCACCATTGAAGGGATTTTGAATAACATCAAGATTCACAACTCCAATAAAGATTCCCAAGGCATAAAGCACCTGAGAATTGGCGGGTTATACGGCGTGACACGTGAGCACTTTGAAGAGCTGCAGTCATTACTGGGCCTTGACGGCCTCAGGTCCGAAAACCGTCCGAAGCCCCATTTCTACCACAGGGGAAACTTTTATCTTCCTTTTGACGACAATCGGGCCATGGACATCGAGATGTGCCCGAGGTGTGAGAAATTTAGGCTGGTTTATGACTGTCCGGCCGAAGGCTGTCAGGTTAAAGACGTGGCCTCTCAAGCATGCAGAGCTTGTACCCTCTGCATCGCAAGGTGTGCTCAGTGTGGGAGGTGTATTACCGACAACGAATATGAGGAGACTTTCTGTTTGGACCTGCTCTGTTCAGATTGTTTCAAGCAGATGCTCAAGTGCCAAACTGATGATATTTCGCTTAATGTCGAATCAAGATTGTCTTGACTTGCATTCGAGATTTGAGATTTCTGTTGAGCTACTACTTCGTAGTGGGATAGTAGTTTCTGTCCGGGCCCTTCGGTGGGGCTGCTTTGGCCCTATTTATGTACTACCATATGAGAGAATGAGAATGGGGCCCAAAATATCAAAAAGAAANGGAAAAAATTGAAGAGGGATTTCCCCCCAAAAAAAATAAAAAAATAAAAAAGGGAAAAAACTGAAGAATGAATGAAGAATAACATAAACCAAAAGGCCACATGGTTGATACTCGATTGCCTACAGCGTCTCTTTTTTCGAGTAGATTGAGTTTAAAGTATGGGCTTTCGGGTTTGTTCGGAGGCATGTGCTTGTTATCTCTCTATGTATTGGCTTTCGGGTTTGTTCGGAAGCATGTGCTTGTGATCTCTCTAGGTATGGGCTTTCGGGTTTGTTCGGAGGCATGTTCTTGTGATCTCTCTAAACAGCCTTCGACTTGATTATTTGGGTAAAGATTGAAGAATAGAAGGAAGTGAAGTTGGTAAGGATCGGCCACGATCCATCGGTCTTTGGTGCAAATTTGTGTTCAGTTTCATACATATATGTTTTATATTGACTGTAAAAGTGACATAGATTCATTGTTTTGTTGTTAACACCTTCTTATTGCCACATGAATGATCTATTTTTCACTTGTCATCAGTAAGGGTTTAATTGTTGAGGGGTGCCTTTGCTGAATTTTTAATTTTTAATTATATTGTTTGTGATATGTGAGCTTCCCAATGCATTTTCTCATGACATGTTTAAAGGTACCTTCTATTTTTTCTTCAATTGAAAATAACCAGCATTTCTTTTAAGGAAAAGCCCGAGAGGTTTGTTTCATTTCAGACATGATGATATTATTCCCTTAAAGCTGTAGGAGCATCTCCAGTGGACGAATCAAATACATGTAATGCCGTAGCGTATGCAATTGTTTATTTTAAGGGACATGACATAGCATGAAAAATATCATATACATATATCACGATAACTCTGTAATACTGTAGCATTATGTAAAAACTTCTAATTTTTTCTCATTTCATTCCATCAATTATTAATTATTACTATATATTTGTCACACAAGCTCCACAATTCAATGTATAAGTGGAGGTCCAATCATTTTTTTCTTCTCTTCATGTCACGTATATTCAAAATAAACAAAACAAATTGGAGATGCACTTAATATATGGTGTGACTAAAATAAAGCCAATTAAATGTAAGTTTTACCAATTTGCTCAACTAAGCATGACGTCAAAAATAGGTAAATTAAGAAAAAAAAGCAATTATAGTATTTTTATTTTTTTAAGGAAATGACGTCAAAATAGGTAAATTAAAAAAAATCAATTATAGTATTTTTTATTTTTTTAATCTTAGCTTAACTCAAAATCCCGTAGACTCCAAACCCCTTCGCTAGACTAACCTATCATTTTCATTTTTCACACACACAAAAAAAAAGAAAATGTACATGTCTGAAAAACCCCAACCACCGCAAGAATCCGCCATCGATTACTACACCACCGCCACCGGCGGCAAGCAGGAATCTCCGCACCGCAACAGCAACATGATCATCCACCTCAGCCCCCAACCCCATCTCCACCACCTCCCCGACGGCGCCGCCACCCCCACTGCCGGAGACGACACCGCCGCCAACAACCAGAACTCGGCCAACCCAACATCCTCGGCGGGCCCCAAGAAACGGGCCGAGACGTGGGCCCAGGAGGAGACGCGGGCCCTCATCTCCCTCCGCAAAGAAATAGACATGCTGTTCAACACATCGAAGTCGAACAAGCATCTGTGGGACAGCATATCTATGAAGATGAGGGAAAAGGGGTTCGATAGATCCCCAACGATGTGTACTGATAAGTGGAGGAATTTGTTGAAGGAGTTCAAGAAAGCCAAACAGAATAACGCAGATGGTGGTGCTTGTTATAAGATGTGTTATTACAAGGAGATTGATGAGGTTATGAGTGAGAGAAATAAAAATGGTCCGAGTTGGAAAAGTTCTGAGATTTCGAACAGTGCCTGTGCTGGGTCTGGTGGTTCTAAAGTGGATTCCTTTTTGCAGTTTGCTGATAAAGGTTCTTTTTTTTTCAAATTTACACTGAAGTGAACTTTTGGTGTTTGTTTGTGGTGTGCTTTCCGTAAAGATAGTTCTTGTTTATTACTTTGTCTCTCAATATTGGTTATAACGGCGGAGTTGTTTTAGCATATGTGGGATGTGAACTGGCACTAGCTTATGTGATTTGAACTTTGCTGTTTATAAGGTTGCTATTTCAATGAGTTGTAGTGTTACCCGAGTGGCATGTGGCTTCTCTATGTTCTTCTTGGTTCTCGCATACTGATTATAGAAAATATTTGAGGAAGAATAATGATACTTTGGCTGTTGAATTTCGTTGAATGTGTTGTTATTGCTATTAGTTCTGTTTTTCGACCTCAATGGATGATTACGCAAGGCTTATTTGTAGTTTTTTTTTTATGCATGAAAATGTTCCCACAGCATATGCACTTGTTTGGTCATGTGCATTTTGATTGTGCATTATTGGCGAGGATATAGAAAATGTTCGGTGTCGGTAGGAAGATTGAGTTGACTTTATTGTTTAATGTATTGCGTGGTTTCTTTATGCTGTTTGAATGATTGTCCCTCGATATCCTCTGGTGAGGTATAAGTTCTCTATTATGATTATCCTGTTTCTGTATCTAATATCTGTACATATTTGAAGTATTAGGCCATAAATGTTTTTTTATATCTATCCATCACATTAAGTTTTGAATACAATTTGACCTCGACAGGTATTGATGATGCCAGTCTTCCTCTTCCCTTTGGACCTGTGGAAGGTACGAAACTAGTTTTTCTTGGCAATTTTATGGATCATATAAGTATAACTTTCGTTTAATGGAACTGTGATAATTTGCCCTAGCATCAGCGATTTTTATATTCGATATAATAAATATTAACCTTAATAAATATCATAATTATGGAGGCTTGTTGGATCCGTAAAAGCCGTACCGGGAGTTTAGTGTTTTTCCTTACGTCATGCATTCTAACATGTGATCATTTAGTGAAGTACCAACATTTGGCTTCCTGCTTCCTTAACCATATTCACTGGAAATTTGCACCTAATCTAGAAAAAAAAAAAAAAAAAAAAAAAATTGTTTGCTTCATTTAGTAAATGAGTATTATATGGCATATTAGCCATTTCGCAATCATTCTGCATAATCATTTCATTTTCTTGCTTGTCCTATTTATGGTCATATATTTGATAGAGATTGCGTTTTGTAATGGAAATTACCTGCACACTTTTACTTCCATAGTTCCATTGGGTTTAAATTTCTCTTGTTCTTTTCTTTTTAATGAATGTTCCCTTACAGATTGTTCTTTTTCCTTAACGACCCATTCTGATTCTGATTATATATTTTCGAATAAAATCGTTGGCACACAGCTAATGGAAGGTCTACCCTTAATTTAGAAAGAAGATTGGATCACGATGGGCATCCTCTTGCAATAACTGCTGCTGATGCTGTTGGAGCTAGTGGAGTTTCTCCATGGAATTGGAGGGAAACTCCCGGAAGGGGTAAGTTTGACTTTTCATGGAACATGCCAACTTTTTCGATTAAAATATTGCAGGTTAAGTTATAAAAGCTACCATTCGTACCTATCCGGCACTTAAAGGATGGGATAATTAGAATTTGTGTGCCAAACTATTGAGTTTTTGCACTTTTGCTTGCTGAACTTTAGCCATCTCACTATTTGAACATTTTGCATTTAATTAACCCTCCGGGAGCCAACTTGGACCCAATGTGCAAAAGAAGAGCTGTAGTTTGATGTCAAATTGCAATCAACCCCTAAAAAGTTTGGACTGGTTTTTCGAAATTACAAAACCTTCTTTAGTTAATAATACCAAGGCACTTTTCTTTTGAGGTTTGTTGATAAATTGAAGAGACACATCTCTCTTCAGTGTGTAATTTCATTTGTGATGTAAATTGTAAAAACAAATGTTATGAGGGTATATGTAAATTTGAGTTTTTTGAGTGCTTAATAAGAAAATATGAAAGCCATTAATTAACTTTTTTTTCTTTCTCTTGAGTGCTTAATTAGGTTCCTAAATACTGTTCCAATTTTTTCTTTAAATTCTTTTAACAGGTGAACCTGCGAATTCTTTTGGAAGGGTGATAACGGTTAAATTGGGTGATTATACAAAGAGAATCGGGATCGATGCCAGTGCAGAAGCCATCAAAGAAGCCATCAAGTCCGCTTTCAGGCTAAGGACAAGACGTGCTTTTTGGTTAGAGGATGAAGAAAATGTCGTTCGGTCGCTTGACAGGGAAATGCCCCTTGGTAACTACACTCTTCATGTTGATGAAGGTAAATAATGATGATGGATTTTTTATTTCTCTTTTTGCGGGATCATTCGAGAGTGGAATAATTACTTGAACACCTGAGTTTTGATGTGATCACGAGACGTCCATTTAAAAGTTTGCATTTTTGAGGAAAAAAAAACAAAGGAAATCAAGATTCAGGATTATGAACTTTGAAAAATTCGGCCCCGGATTGAGAAATAAATAATTAACGAAATTAGTTGATAGATGTAAATAATTAATGACATCGGCATCCTTATTATGTGCAGGCCTGACTATTAAAGTTTGCATCTTTGAGGAAACGGACCAAATGCCAGTACACACGGTGGATAAAACTTTCTACACAGAGGATGATTTTCGCGAATTCCTCACGCGCCGTGGCTGGACTTCTCTAAGAGAGTACAGTGGCTTTCGTAATATTGACAATATGGACGAGCTTTGCCCTGGTGCTATATACCGTGGGGTTAGCTGAACTGCCGTTTGTTTGCGCTCTCTTGATAAATGAACATCGTATCTTTTTTTTTTTTCATGAGTATTTGCTTAAGTTGCAAATTGAAGTAGGCTTTGATCTGCAAGATCTTTTTCTTTTGATATGGTTTTGTTCAAAATTGCACTACATCTCTTTGAATTTTTTATGAATGTAGTTTGTAAATATGGATTGTTGATGAACAGCATTACTTAATTTGCTAGTTTGCTTATCTCAAGAGGTTTTAGTAATGACTTTAAGGTTCTGTCTGGATTAAAGGAGTTGTCCTTCACCTTCAGAAGAGGATATAGGGGAGAAGGATTTTAAATGCTTTGACGCAATGATTCAGGAGTCTCCCAAAAAGATATAGATAAATAAATAAAAAATATTTGTTATTTTGAATAAAATGCTCATTGTCAACGTATTGAAATTTCTAAGGCGAGTAAAAACAAGTGGTGTCGTGGTGTAGTTGGTTATCACGTCAGTCTAACACACTGAAGGTCTCCGGTTCGAGTCCGGGCGACGCCATTGAAATCATCTTTTCTTCCTAATTTTTGAATGTGTTATATTTATTTAAGGAAGCGCTTTGCCCAATATAAAATGCAATTAGTGTCTACTGATACCGGAAAGAAAAAACACTGAATAAAAGAAAAAGAATAACATGTAAATGTAGTCATCAGTTAACATAATTCAAGAAATATTATTTTCCAAAACTCAAATAAATTAAATGTGTACAATTAATCGGTCATCATAAGGCAATTTTGGAGCACAAATTATTGTCTCAAATTTTGAAGTACAAATTATTGTGTGAGATGACCTAAACATTTGGTGGGTCGAAATTTTATACCAGATATGCATATTTATGTTATGAAATGTTATTAATATTTTGTGTATGTTATGCTAGAGGGTGACATTTTATTGCAAAATTATACATATCTTTTTGAGTTTTGATACTTGTATACCTATTCTGAGTTAAACCCTATAAAAAGTAGATTTTTGAAGAAACAATATAGTTGAAAGGTCATATGAATTTTCCCCTACATAACATGTGATCCACTGTCTGGAAATGATACAAGAGTTAATGGTTTGCACTCTAATTCCGGGTAAAAAATTCAACAAATTTTAATCAAAAGTTTATAACTTTTTATCTTTGAAATGTCAAAAAAAAAAAAAAAAAATGACTATATAGCATCAATGGAGCTTATCAAATAATTTTCAAGGGTGCCAAACTGGTGGCACTAATTGCGGATAGTAATATATTTTAGTTTGAATCTCACCAAGGAAAAAAAAAATCAAGTCAAATTAAGTACTTGATTTGCTAACATAAAATAGCACAATTAAGTTATGGCAATTTGTTTTTCCCATCAAACCATCTAAGGTTCTAATTCGAAATAATTATTTTAAATTAGAAAGATTTTCAATCAAGTCACAAAATTTACATCCAAATTCAAGTTTTGGATTCCCAAATTGAATTCTTTTCAATATTATCTTCCTTTCTTTTTGCCCAAGAAACAAAAACAAAAACCGGCACCCACCGTTTTCCACTAAACCGGCCTTTTGAAGGACCTTTAAAATACCCCCAACCTCACTTGGTTTCTCACGAATCTCTGATCTGTTTCTAATCAATTTGCACAAAGCACACAGTAAAACCTCTGCTTTAGCTTTGTTTCTTTCTGGGTTCATGGCAAAGATCAAGATTGGGATCAATGGTCAGCTCTTTTTTTCTCCACCCTTATGTTGATTCTGAAAAGGATTTTGTTATGCACAAAAAAATCCGATCTCTTTGTTGAATTGTTTCATTTTTGTGACTTTTATTGCTAGGGTTTGGAAGGATTGGTCGTTTGGTTGCGAGGGTTGCTCTGCAAAGAGATGATGTAGAGCTTGTTGCTGTTAATGATCCATTCATCAGCACTGATTACATGGTAAATATAATCTTTTTGTATTTTTTTATGAATCGGTAAGGTGTTGGAGTTTATCTGCGATTAGACATGACTAATGGTGGAAAAAATTAAATTAAAAAATGTGCAGACATACATGTTTAAGTATGACAGTGTCCATGGACAATGGAAGCATAATGATGTGAAGCTGAAGGATGAAAAGACCCTTCTTTTTGGTGATAAGCCGGTCACTGTGTTCGGCTACAGGTATTGGTCACTTGTTTTACCCTTTCTTAATTCGGTTTTTGTGTTGTAATGTTGAGCAATCGTGTTTATTTTATGTTGCTGGTACTTGTTAGGAACCCTGAAGAGATCCCATGGGCTGCAGCTGGGGCTGAGTTTGTTGTGGAGTCTACTGGAGTCTTCACTGACAAGGACAAGGCTGCTGCTCACTTGAAGGTTTTTCTCTCATCTTCTTTTAATCTAATTTACTTCTGTTGTTCTCATGTCATGAACATTTTTTTTTTATTATTATTAATATTCCAATACTTATGCTATATGATTAGTGCTTGAGCTAGGTTGAAGTTGCAGATGTAACTTGAGATTTGCACGTTCTCTTTGTCAAGTAGGAAAGAATATCAGTGCTATTTTATTTTCTGGACTAGATGTAGCTGTGATGAATTGTAGCTGGATAGAATCTCAAGTGTATTTGACCTGATTAACCATTGTTGTTTTTGTTTGTTATATGAACTTTGTTCTGTGGATTTCATAAATGGAGTTGATTTTGACGGACTCAAATATATGGTTGAAAGTTAAAAATAGGTAGTTTGCAAAGTGAATAATTTGTAATTTTGAGTATAAAACAAGAATTTGTCCTCCTTAAAATCACTCACCAACTGTATAGCTCAAAATGGTCCTAAGTCCTAACCCCTGTGCACATGTTATGTGGAGGATTGAAGTTGAGTAGCAGAAAACAAATAGCAGTGTATTTTTAATTTTGACAAATAGCTGTAAAATTATCTCAGTAAATGAAATGTTGGGTCTGTTTTTCTTGATCAACCTTTTGCTTGTCCATGCTGTATGAATTTGTTCTGTGTATTCTATCCTTTAACAGTTTTTTCGCTGCTATGTTCCATGTGGACTGTACATTCTTGTCTATACATCTCAGAAGCAATATCACTAAATCTTGAAGATTAAATTTCCATTGTAATATTGTTCTTATAGTACTTTTTCTCTATTTATCTATTGAAATATTGTTCTTAGAATGAAAAGTGGGTAAACCCTTGAGAACTTGAATTAAAGTTGTACCCATCTCTTATTTTGTACTCCCTTTTGCCCGTTTATAAATCCACTTCTGAAAATCAGGGTGGGGCCAAGAAAGTTGTGATATCTGCCCCAAGCAAAGACGCACCAATGTTTGTTGTGGGAGTCAATGAGAAGGAATACAAATCCGAGTTGAACATCGTCTCAAATGCTAGCTGCACCACAAATTGCCTTGCCCCATTGGCTAAGGTTATAATAACTAAACATTTTCTATTAGTTTTTCTTACTATTTCTTTTTAAATTCATGTTTTAGTTTAATATTGTGGTCCATGATGATGAGCTCTTAAATATTTTTGCTTCCTTTTA